GCCGAGAGCAAGGGTACCCTCCGGCACCTGGCTGGAGCCGGACGCCGCGCGGCGAAGCTGCTCCGGGGCAGGGCCAGGCGGCGGTGAAGGCGGAGCCGCTTGCTGGGCGCGCCTGGGGAGCTGCTCAAGCAGGGCACGCCCGAGTACAGTTTGGAAACTTCGGCCGGCAGGGAGGCCGTCCTGTCTAATCAAAGACCCAGCTACGGGGACAATAAAATTTGCGAAGGAAGCGAGGACAAAGAGAGGCCGGATCAAAGTAAGTTATAAAAAGTGAGGAAATACCCAGGCCGAAGGCCAGGCGAGGGGGAGGGGAGGGGAGAGGCAATAAACTGCGGACAATGTGAAGGGAAACCGCGGCGGTGGCCCGGAGAGCGAGCCGGGGCGGAGGGAAGAGGGAGGGAGGAAGAGAGGCAGCTGGGTGCCCCAGAAGGGGAGACTGAGGTCGCTGGAGAAGCGGCGCCCCCACTCCTCCAAGTGCAGGAGGGACCCGGAGCGCCGGGACCTGCTCGCCGCTCTCTCGGCCTTCCTTCCCTCACGCCCCGGAGGCCTGGGCTGAAAGCCCTGGAAGAGGCTGACGACCGCCGGCCGCGAGAGGAGCTGGTGGGGCCCGGGAGGCAGCCAGCGAGGCCGAGAGCCCGCGCGGGCCAGGGCGGGAGCGCACGGGGCTGCCGGGCACCGCGCGGCTGGCAGAGCTCCCTGCGCCACGCGCACACCGTAAAAGCCGGCCAAGGGGAAGTGGGAGGGGGCTCATTAGGATTTTATTTGCGATGCAACAGCTTGGCGGAGGATTGTTCCTAGCAGATCTCCCTCAGTAGCAGCTCAGTGTCCGCAGCCGGCGCCGGGAGGGGCGGAGGAAGCCCGGGACCCGGTGACTGAGCCCCCTCCCCGGATGCGCCGGCCCCTCCCCGGGAGCCTTCCCTCTGGTCGCCCCCTCCCCTCCTTGGCATCCTTGCCCGGGTTGCTGCTTCCTTTTCTGCGGCCCCTGCTGCCCTCCGCGGGGCTCCCTACCCCCAGCCGGAGCTGTCCGCCTCGCGGGGAGTCGCGGAATCGCTTCCGAACTTAGGGGCCCGACCGCCGTCGTGGAGGAGAGATCCCGAAAGGACCCTGGGGAGGGGAAGGGTGGGGAGGAGAGAGGCTTGCGGAGAGGCGGAGAACTTTATCCTCTGAAGGTAGTTTCCCACCATCCCCTACTCCTCCAAAAGCACCCTCGCCAGCACCCCAAGTCTGTCTAATTTCCAGGAGGCTCTGCTAGATAAGGGGGTGGGGGGATTCTAGTATTTTTCGTTTTTAAGGTGGAGAAGGGTTAATTGGTCGGGGGGGGGGCCTCAGCCCCCAAATGATAACCTTCAGGTCAGTAGGGACAAGTACTCACCCCTTACTCTTTTTGGAGAGTGAGGGTCAGATTTTTTTAGTCTCTGCTTGCCCTGCTGGATTTCCCACCAGCAGAGAGGCCCAAAAGCCCTTTGGGGGCACCTCTGCCTGCTGGAGGGTAGAGAGCTGCCCCCCTCCCCTGAGGTCTCTGTGAGGTCCCACTACCTCCATCCCTCCAGGTTGAATCACAGGAGCTGGTGTTTGGGTAACACAGGGCTCTTCCCAAACCCTCCCTGTTCACACCCAAACAAACCCCCCACCTCAAACCCCCAAACTCTGCTTGGAAAGTCCATTATTGCAAGGCAGCAGTTTGGCTAGGATCAATTATTAACAGTTTTTTCCCTCTTTCATATTTAATGCGGCTGCGGGTCCCATCCCAGGCAATCACATTAAGGAAATAGCGCTGCAAATTGGTAAGACACGGTACTTAGTGTAGGATGAATCAGATTTTTTTAAAAAAATCAGTGCTTTTCATTTGGGGAGGAGGAATCTAGCAGAGTAGTGGCTGTTATTTTTAATTGGCTCTGCTTTATTTGGTAACTTTTCTGAGTTCAGGGGTAAGGAGAAGAGAAGCCTGTATATATTTTTGTTTCCTCTTTGCCCCCTCCTCCACTCAATCACCCCTTTCTCTGTTCCCCCTCACCGCATGGAGCCAGTTGGAGTTAGGTGTGCTGTGAAGGACTTTTGTTACCCTCACATCATCCATGACTCCCCGCCTTGTGTCTGGAGCAATCTTGTTTCCCAATTTCCCTGAACTTGCTTTAACCAAACTGCGAGCTGAGCAGGAGTGGAAAAGGAGACTATTGCAACCATAAGTTATCTGTGAGCCCCCAGCGCTCCCTTGTCCACAGGCTGGAGTTGATAAATGGTTGCAATTGGGTTGCATGTGAATTGGAGTGTGCTAGATGTTTGCGTCTCTAAATGTGAACCCATATTTGTGGTGTGTGTGGCGGGTGAGAGGGGGGAGGCGGCAAGATATCTACAGAGACACATGCCTGCTACCATGTGGCCAAGAGACACAAGCTTGTGATCGAGGCAGGAGGGTGCACTCAAACTGGACTGGAGGGCCAGGAGGTCTCTTGGCTGTGGCTGAACAGAAGCCACTCTCATCTCCCCTAGCCCAGTCCTTGTCTCTCCTCTCAGACCTGGAGCCAGAACCCTTCAGGTCAGCCACCCCTAGTTACTCTGGTAGTGCCATAGCAGGGCAGCCGGGGGACTTTAGCCAGGTTGGGCTCTGACCTGGGTCCTAACCAATTCGGACCCAAGTGGAGAAAAAGACTGAGAGAGAACCTGAGGCGGGGTGAAGCTCGTGAAGTGCTGAGAAGTCTGGTACATGTTCGGCTCCATCCTTTCCAAATAACTCTCACCTGAAGGTGTCTATAGCAGCTCCTAGCCCATCTATGGGACCTTTTCTGGGAATCTGAAGGCCCCGGTGCCCCTTTCCCCAGTGCAAGATGGGGAGTGGAGACCAGGGGTGTGCGCCCTCTTGGAAGGAGAACATGGGATCCCTTCATCCCCTCTTCCTTTCTTTGATTCTATCGCTGCTTCTCTTTCAGCCAACCCCTCCGCCAACTGGCTGCACGCTCGCTCTTCCCGGAAAAAGCGCTGTCCCTACACCAAATACCAGACGCTGGAGCTAGAGAAGGAGTTTCTGTTCAATATGTACCTCACCAGGGACCGTAGGCACGAAGTGGCCAGACTCCTCAATCTGAGTGAGAGACAAGTCAAAATCTGGTTTCAGAACCGGCGGATGAAAATGAAGAAAATGAATAAGGAACAGGGCAAAGAGTAAAGATCCCCCGCCAAGCCCTCCCCAGCCCTTCCCCATCTCACGCTTATTTATAAGTGATGGCTGCAAAGCCAGTGCCGTCTGGGGTGTATTCAAGTGAATGGGGAAGGGAGTCTTTCTCTTCAAAGTCCTTTTCTGCATCTAGAGCCTCACTCCTTTCCTTTGCTCTTACCCATCCTTCTCTTCTCCCTGGGCCTCAGGAGGAAGTTTGATTGATTTAGAAGGTAGATGTAGTTGGTTCCTAAGAAAGTGATGGGCCACAAGGAAAGAGAGCCCCTAGTAGAGTCCCCAGAATCCCTCCTGTTTTTTCTGGAAAGCCCCAGCCCCTCACTTCCAGCCTGCCCGGTCTCCCCCACCCCCCACCGCCGCACCTATCCCAGAGTCACCCAGGGACACTCCAACTGCACACAGCCCAGCAGATGCCCGCATGCCTAAAGCCCGGAGCCCCCCCACCCCGTACTAGTGGGAAAAGCTCACAGTCAACACTCAAATGAAGTGACACATCAAATACAAACCATCACACCCCCAAATCTGGCAGAGCAGCCCACACACCGTCAGACAAGTCCAGGCTCTATCTCTGATGCAATACACACCGGAAAGGGGTCTGGGGACACACTCCTGAATGAGGCGCTGCAGCTCAAAAAGGCTCAGCATGTCTCACCACCATCCCCATGGAATCCTTAACTGTACTCAGCCACAGACTCAAGGGCAAATGGGGTAAACTCAGCTCCCAAACTGGTGGGCCAGAAAGGGCGAGGAAAGGCAGCGGTGGTCTTAAAAGAGTCTTCTAGGTTTTACGGTGGTATTCCACATACACACATTTGCTGCAGGAAATGTTTAATTCTGCATGTTGTTTTCCTCTCCTTCCAACAAAAGGAGGTCAAATCGTGGGTCGTGAGCCTTGACAATGTCGTCCTCCCGTTCATCTGTGCCCCGCTTGACAGAGACTGTAGCTTCTCTTGCTCCACACCGGCCCTGCATTCTTCCGCATCCTCCCCAGCTCTGAAATCAACTCTTCGGCCAATCCACCTTGCACCAGCGAGTCAAGCCGCCCCTGTAGCAACCCCCCTCCGCCCTCCATCCCCTGCTAGCTCTACCCCTCCATAGGCAGGAAAGCCTGGTCAGGAGAACCCAATGGAGAATTTATTGTGAATTGATTCCCGGCTCCTTTCCGAAGGCAAGTTATGGAGAACAGGGAGGAGCGAAGGCTCCCTGGCACGCAGAGCTTGACAACGTTCCTCCCGTCCTGCTCAGTCCGACCCATGCGGAGGAGCCCCCGGGCCTGGCAGCTGCTACCCCAGCACAGAAGCGCAGAAACCAGCCCCAGGGCCGGGCTTTACCTTCGGAGTCTCGGGCCTGGATGGCGATCTGTGCGGCTGCTGCGCGCACGCTTCTGGGGAACGGTCCCGCGTGCTAAGGAAAGAGGCAAAATCGCACCTAAGCATTAGGCCGGAGTTTATGCTCAGCTTCTCCCCCACCCCTACCCCACTTCTCCATTCCCCTCCAATCCCGTGGACTCTTGCTCCTGCTTCTCCCGACCCTGCAAGGGGACATTCCAGTAGAACTTTTTTTTTTTTGCTTTGTTGGTGGCATTCGTGAAATTGTGCTGTGTTTTGTGATTTCTTTGGGGGTGATTGTCTCGCCTGTTTTCAGTTGTCGCTTATATGGGAGGGTTGTGGGTGGGAGTGGGGTGGGTGAGGGGCTTAGAGCTCTGATTGCTGTTTTGGAAGAAAAAAAACATAAAAAGATCAAAAAATATATATCACTCTAGAAACAAATCTCTGCTTGTGTCTTATTCCATCTTGGCTTTCCTCACTTGGCCAGAGGTAGAGATCTTGGTTCGAAGAGGGTGGCTTGGACAAAAGAGAGACTTTTGTGCCCAAGAGATTTCTCCTTAGACCTTGCAGGCAGTCTTCCTGGTGGAGCTGAGGGCTGGTCCAGACCCAAGCTCCCAAGATCACTGCTTAAATTGATCAAGAGCCTTCCAACAGGAGAGCTGGGAGGCTGGAGGGTCAGAAAACGAAGATGAGTGGTTTGGAGAAGGATCTGGATCTGGGTTTGCAGGGAGCAATGAGACTTTCCTCCTAAGTTGCACTGGAGGCTTGCTACCAACTCCAGAGCCAGAGGGAAGGCAAGGCCTGCCCTGCCACTCCTGGAAGCAGGTCCTCTCTTACCTGGCTGAGAAAGTCACCTTGGTTTGGCCACTTTAAAATATCATGCAAGTGAGGAAGCTGGTAACTTCCTTCTGCTGTTCCCTGCAGCACAGGGACTGGGTGTAGACAGAGGCCTCCAGGAGGCCAGGCTCTCCTTTCTTTTGCTCAAAAAGAATGAACCCTTTCGGGTTTTCAGTCCCCACCTGGAATTTGAGGCTCCAGTTTGAGCCACAGTGTAGCAGCCTTGGTATAAGGTGGGTAGAGTTTGGTCGGGGTGGAGGCCTGGGGAGGCAGATTCTACAGGCTGGAAGTGAGGGTTGAATATGGAACAGAAATGCTTCAGGAGAAAAAAAAATCCCCTTCCCCGTCGGACCCCAGAACTAAATTCGGTTTCAAGGTGCACCTTTCTGTCCCTCTCAGACTATGGTGTCCCCATCAGAGCCTCATATGGAGAGCGCTGTTCTCGGCAGCCCGGTCATTCTCATCTAGGCGCTGGGATTCCGCTTCTAACGGGCTGGCGCTTGGGAGCTGGCCTCCTGCCTGAGCCTCCCATCGGGCCCACCCAGCGGCGCTGCAGTCCGCGGAGACCCTGAGGTTGGGGTAGAAGTAGGGACAAAGCATGACCCGCGGGAAAGGAGCTTGGAAGTAAAAAGGATGGGCCTACCCCTCTCCAGCGAACAGAAGGATGAACCACTCCGAGAGCTAGCAGGAGGCTGGAGAATCGAAGCTCCTGGGTATGGCAGGGCCCAGACCCGCAGCCTCCAAGGAGGGTTCCATTCCGTATATAAAGTGAATCTGCCTCTAGAGCTTGTGTAGACTAGGCTCCCTCCCCGTCCTGGGCTCCCAGGAGTCAGCCCGCGCTGAGAGTGAGCGGAGAAGGCCGGATTCCGCCAAGAGGAAGCGCAAAAAGTGAGGCAGGAACTGTACGGAGTGCTGCGGGGCAGGGGCAAGGGCGCCCGGGGAAGCCTCCGGCGGCGTCTGAGTCCAGAGCCCGGGGTGGCTTCTTTAAAGACAAACAAAGGCGAAGATGCGGAGGCTCGGAAGCCGGAGATGGGGAAATCTGCTGTCATAAAAGAGAGAGAGATTCAGAGAGGGGGACCGGGAGAGTGCGAGACAGGGAGAAGCCGGGAGAGGAATTCAATGCCGTGTGCGCAGCAATAAAAGAATATGACCGCTATAAAAGTTTATAGCGTATAAATTTCTGAAGGTTAAGAAACTAAACAGCAGCAAAGCAAACAGTGAGGGGAAACTTTCCGGAGCTGAGAGAGCCACAGCTGGGCCTGGGCTCCGGGCCTGGCTGGCGAATGGGTGGGTCTGGCTGGGCCGCCCCCACTCTCACCCGCCCGGAACGCGGGGCGCGGGGTTTCCGGGGGCCCCAGGGGGCAGAGAGGGCTGAGGAGGAAGAGGGGAGGGAGGAACACTTTGTTGTCACAAATGCTTCACGGAACGCAACTGGGATTCCGTCTTTGTTCTTTGCACCCCCTCAAATCGGGCGTCATAAAGAGAAGCCCCCGCACGCGCCCGCGCGCGCGCACACACACGCACACGCAGGACCGGCGGGGCCAGACGTCTGGGCGCGGGCAGCCTCTTGATCCTTTTACAGTCCTGTCCCTCTCTCTCAGGCCTCCTTTCCCCCAACAAAAAGCCCAATTGTTTCTCCTCAGAATTTGGAACAATCGTGTTGGATTTGAAAGGTGCTCAGCTCCCCCTTTTACGGGCCATAAACGGCGCACTGCTCGGCGGTCTCCGCCAGAAATTAGGGGCTGGGGGCAGGGGAGCTTACTGCTTCTTTTTCCCTCCCCACCCCCTCGCCTTAAAAAAAAACTTTTTAGCTTATCTGCACAATTTCAATACCGTTTCCTGATTTCTGATGCCTTTTTTCTCGCCTGCTCTCATTTCCCTCCCCTTCTGCTAATAATGAAAGTTTCTCCGCTGGTCGCCGCGGCGGCTGGCTCTCCGAGAGGCTGGCGGAGCTAGTTTTTCTCAGGACGGCCGCTAGATGGCACCCTTGCTCCACGTGAAAAGCCCCGACGCGGCAGCTGCCGGGCGCGGGTGGCTGCACCTCGCACCTCAGTCGGCCCTGAATCTACGAACTGAGCGCTATCAGAAGTCATGAATAATTTGCGCGTAATAAAAATATAGGGTTCATTATGGCCGTTCTCCACTTTTTATAGACTTCAAATATAGTGGTGTTACCCCCTCTCTTCCTCAAATGGTCAGTTTTCCCAGGAGGAGGGCTCAGGGCTTCTCATCTTGTTTCTGTATTTGATGGGACAACAAATGCATGAGAAGGGGGAATAATAATAATAACATGAATAGTGGGTCCAAATTAAATAGGAGAATTGATTCGGAAAAATGAGATAATCCGGAGAGGGGGGCGAGAGGAAGGTCTGCGGATGCGGGTGAGCAGGTCAGGTGAGAGGGGCGAGCGGACAGGAGAAGGTCGGACGGAGAGGAAGCTTCCCCAACCTGCTGTGGGACTGGCGGGAGAGGGAGTCGGGTGAGCCAGCCCCGGGGTGGGGTTGGGGCAATTTGGGGGAAACGGATCCGTGGCTTTGGTGGGGATTCGGAGGTGCCCAGAGACAGCGGGCGGCTCCACACGAACCGAGGCTCTGGAGCCTTTGTATGTGGCCGGGGCTGGGCGGGGCGGCGCCGGGAGACCCAGGCTCGGCGAGGGGCTTCCCTTGAACCGCGAGGTGCGGGGAGGCTCGGCTATTTCCTCGGTTGTTCTGGGCGCTCCAAGTTGGGCCGCCAAAAAGTGTTGTGTTTTCCGGATGGTTGCGGGGACAGGCGCGGTGCAGGAAGCAAGGGCTCGGTGCTCCCGGCGTCCCGTGGCTTCAGGTGAGAGTTCAGGGCTCCGTGAGCCACAGCCCGGCCCCAGGCAAGCCTAGGGACGCCGATCTCTTCGCAGTTTAGCAGCTGGAGGCCTGGACTCCGGGCATTTTCGTTCTGAGACCGGTGCGCTGTCAGCCTCCCCATAGCCCCTTGGATTCCAAATACTGCACTTCCTCCTGGCCCGGCCCGATCCGTGCCCCCCATCCGGACAAACCTGCGCCAGAAATAGCTATCCGTCTCCTTAAAATTAGCCCCACCGCCAGCCTCTCCTCTCTTCCCCCAGGACCGGGTGCGAAGAGGAAAGCGGAGTTTCTCAACTTGAGTTTCTCTAATAAATCTGCACTCCGTTGGGTGTTTATAAATTATCTCCTCGCTCCTTCTTGTTTTTTCTTATAATAGAAACATTTTCCTTCCATCAGGAATTTCTGGCGCGGTGTAGGGATGATTTAGAACAAGCCATTGAATTTCTACCTCACCGGTGAGTCCTCAAATCATGACCATAAAATCGCCGGCACTTGATAAAAATGTTCGCTTCGGCAACAACTTAACGCTGCCTTCCGCTGCCTCACCGCCCCCTCAGCCTGGCGCTGAAAATTCAAGACCCCGGTTCTCTCCCCTCCTTTTCTCTTTTTTCTCTCTCCCGTTCAGCCCCTCTCCCATTCTCCGGATTCACTTTTGAAGGACCAAGTGTCCCCACTGGTAGCATCCTCTTGGAAAAGGTGATAGTTTCATTTTTACAAATATTGGGGTGAGTGGGATCCCCAAAAATCACCCCTCCAAAAGCAAGCAACTCTCTCGTGAATAAACAATGGATGAATTGAATGTATCTGTAAAGCCTGCACCTTTGTTATTAGAAATTTTCTTTCTCTCTCTCCCCTTTCCTTCCTTCTTTCTGTCCTGTTCTTTTATTTCTTGGCCAGTGAGTCACTCCAGGAGGTCATTGGTTTGGACCCTCAGATTGGGGCCTTCTAAAGCCTGGCCACCATTGCCTCTAGGCCTGGTAGGCTGGAAGGCCAGGAAAGTCAACTGGCATGAGAGTGTGGCACCCAGTCAGCTGGGTCCTATAGTCTGTGTTTCAGGCCCCAGGTCCTCAGGCCTAGAGGGAGAGCCGGGTTTAACTAGAAGTTCCCAAGGGAAGAGGGGAGAAAAAGGGAAAATCAGTGGCCTTGCTGCATCCAAATCCCTTCTACCCCAAGGTCAGTTTTGGTAGTGACAGTAGTTCAAAGGACAGTGAAGGCTAAAAGGTGGCCTTCCCCAAAGGTACACACTCTGCAGTCACTGCTCAGGGCAGAGGAGGGCACAGGACAGTGGGCACCAGGGCCAGGCGCCAGGTCCTCGGTTTCCAACAGTGGCCTCCATTGCTCTTTCTTCTCTTTGATGTGCTGATGGGCCTGGCAGTGCCCTCACCCAAGGGTGCTTTGGAAGGTGTGGAGGACTGGCCTGGGAAGATTGGGAGCCAGCTGGGCATGGTGACTGGGTCCCAAGGCCTGGGTGCAGGACTGGGGCAGCCCAACTAGGTGTCATTCTGCTGGTGGCATCAGGCCCCTGACACATCACACAGAATTGGTCTCCCAAAGGCTTGCTGAGTCCCAGTACCTTCTAGGGACTCCCTTCCCATTCCAGCAACCCCCCTTCCAGGCCACCTGAGGTTGTGTAAAACTGCAGAATCACAGTTGCAGGGCAAGCTTTGCTCAGGGCTTCACCTCTGTCCATTAAGCAGAAAGTTTCATCTCCTTCTCTGGGTCCTTCTTCATGCCTCCCAGGACCCCTTCTCCAAGGAAAATCCTTGTTTGTTTGTTTAATGAAGGAAAGTTGGTGACTGGCCTGGGTGGGCCTGAGAGGGGGTAGTTTGGGGGTTCTGGAGAAGGAGTGGGGGCAGGTGCTCCCAGAGCTGAAGGAGGCAGAAAATCTTGCAAAAGTCACCGTTTGCACCGAAAAAACCTCATAATCATTCTCATTTCGGCTTTGTCACCCCCACCGTGCTGCAGTCAGGCGGCGGGGGCGATCGAAGCTGCAGTTTTATAGCTGTAGAGGAAAGAACTCGTAAAATGCTAACAGCTTTTATGCGCTGCGGCATAAACAACAACAGACTCGGCTTTATTGCGTTTTATAGTTTGTTAAAGAGTTTACAGCCGTTTTTTGGGGGCCGGTTACCCAGCCAATTCCCTCCACACGATAGTTAAACCTTTATCAATAATAAGGAAATTGATCATTAAAGCTTTAAATATGACTACCTCGTTTGTTTGAAAATATGTTTAGGAGAGGAAGCTGTATGATTTGATAACTTGTATTAAAATACCAATTACATTTATAGGACCTTTTAAAACTCGGCGCAATTAAACCGTGTTCTTTTACATTTTTCCGAAGCGACCCTGACATTTAAAAACTCCAACTGCCTCGTTAAAATCGCGAAATTAACAGCGTGCCTGCGCCTGGCGCGTTGTGTATGTGTGTGCGTGTTTTTTTCCGTGACTCCCCCACATCAGTCTTTGGGGGTGGTCTGCGAAGGTATTTGATTTGTCGTGAGGCGAGAGATATCTCATTAATGTAGGTAGTTAAACAGATTTAATCCGTATTCATTCTCTCTCCCCCTCCCCTCTCTCCCCTCCTCTCTCCTCGGTGTTTTTTCCTTTCCCTTCCTTTTTTTCGTCTCTCCCCTCACTCCCTGGCGCTCTCTCGCTCTAGCTCTCTCTCTCGCTCGCTCTCTCTTGCTCTCACCCTCGCTCTGCGTTCTGTCCGGGAGGAGTACGGAGAAGCCAATAGGATGCGGGGTCTCTAATGGATGCAAATGATCATGAAAAGACAGTGCAAAATATGAAACAACTCATTTGCAGGGAAGTAAATCACCGAAAACTGTTTATGAACTGGCATCCCTTCTTCGAAATGTAAAGCGAGGACCTCTTTAAGTGGCGGTATATTTTTGTTTGGGGGGTGGGGGTGGGGGGAGGGCGAGTGAGCCGCGGCTGCCATGCAAGCTTAGACTTTTGGAGGCTTCGCTGTCCTTTTCTATTCCTGGAAATCACAAAAAGTGTGGTGGCTTCGAGATCTTCTTCGCCTTTTCTTTCTTTTCTTTCCCCCCCCCTCCTCCCCTTTCCCTCTCCTTTCCTGGCGAGGGTGACTAGGAGCCGGCGAATCCGCGTTTTTTTCTCTCTCTCTCCCTCCCTTTCCCCTCCCCACCCCTCCCCAACAGCCCCCAACTACAGCCGCCGCCGCCGCCGCCGCCTCAAAATTCAATAAAATGAGCTCTTATTTCGTCAACTCACTGTTCTCCAAATACAAAACCGGGGAGTCCCTGCGCCCCAATTATTATGACTGCGGCTTCGCCCAGGACCTGGGCGGCCGACCCACCGTGGTGTACGGTCCCAGCAGCGGCGGCAGCTTCCAGCACCCGTCGCAAATCCAGGAGTTCTACCACGGGCCGTCGTCGCTGTCCACGGCTCCCTACCAGCAGAACCCGTGCGCCGTGGCGTGCCACGGGGACCCCGGCAACTTCTACGGCTACGACCCGCTGCAGCGGCAGAGCCTGTTCGGTGCGCAGGATCCAGACCTGGTGCAGTACGCCGACTGCAAGCTCGCCGCCGCCAGCGGCCTGGGCGAGGAGGCCGAGGGTTCGGAGCAGAGCCCGTCGCCCACACAGCTCTTCCCCTGGATGCGCCCGCAAGGTGAGCTCGCGTCGGGGCCGGCGGGGGGAAGGGAGACCAGGGGCCCAGGCCAGGCAGGGGGCCGGGCAGGCCGGGCGCGGGTCTTCCAGCTCCTGGAAGACCTGCTTGCTCCTTTCAGATAGCCTCTCCCTCCTTTCCTTCCTTCCTTCTTCCCTTCCTTCCTTCCCTCCCTCCCTCCTTCTTTCCTTCCTTCCCTTCTTGCTTTTTTGTTTCCCTTGAAGGAGGTCGCTAAGCGACATTTCCTGAATCCATAAACCCCTCACCCTGCCTGACTTTTCTTCTTCTTCCCCTCCTTTTTTTCCCTTTTACTGTTTTATGGGGGGTAGTGGAGAAAGGGTGGTGGGAGTGGGGGCGCTCAACTTTTGCACTTCTCAATTGCTTTATAGTTTAATTACCCTGAAGAAACTTTTCTTCTGGGGCAGAGGCTCTGGGGGCTTTTCAAGGTGGGTCCATTCGTCCCCATCCCGGCTTTTTTATTCTTATTTTTCCCCCTCCTTCACATCCTTCCTTCTAAAGTTTATGGCACTTTTAATAGATTCAACCATCCCCGCCCAACTCTCTGGTGCTGGTTACCAGGGGAGGGGGCTCCCCTTTCTGGCTCCGTTAGATTCAGTGGTGTCTGATCCCCCTCACCCCCCCCCTCCGCTGACCGCGGCCTCCCAGCGCCCCCGCCCCTGCGCGGGGTAGAAGGTCCCCTGCCCTTATTATACTGGTCTCCTAGGCTGGTTCACGAATCTTCCAACCTTCTCCGTCTCTGCCCCCTCCCCCACCCTCCCCTCCCCTCTGTCTCGCCCTTTCCCCCATTCCCAGCAGCCGCCGGACGCAGGCGAGGCCGACAGACCTACAGCCGCTACCAGACCCTGGAGCTGGAGAAGGAGTTCTTATTTAATCCCTATCTGACTCGCAAGCGACGGATCGAGGTATCGCATGCGCTGGGACTGACTGAGAGACAGGTCAAAATCTGGTTCCAGAACCGGAGGATGAAGTGGAAAAAAGAGAACAACAAAGACAAGTTCCCCAGCAGCAAATGCGAGCAGGAGGAGCTGGAGAAACAGAAGCTGGAGCGGGCCCCAGAGGCGGCGGACGAGGGAGACGCGCAGAAGGGCGACAAGAAGTAGGCTCCAGCTGGGACTGCCAGGGCCGCGGCCACCCTGCGTCCGCGGGTTCCCCGACCGCGCCGCCGTCGCCTGCCCCCGCCCAAGAGAGCTCTGGCCCCGCGAGCGGGGCCGGGAGCCTGGCCTCCCACCGCAGCGTCCCCGCCGCGCCAGTCCCCGCTAGTGGTAGTATCTCGTAATAGCTTCTGTGTGTGAGCTACCGTGGATCTCCTTCCCTTCTCTTGGGGGCCCGGGGGGCAAAGAAAAGGATTTCAAGCAAGGACTCCCTCGCCCTGCGAGGGTGAGCGGCTGCGGCCTGGCTGAGCACCCCCCATGCCCCTGCCCCGTGTAAAAAGCCTCCTTGTGCAATGGTCTTTTTTTTCCTTTGAACGTGCTTCTTTGTAATGACCGAGGTACCGATTTCTGCTAAGTTCTCCCAACAACATGAAACTGCCTATTCACGCCGTAATTCTTTCTGTCTCCCTCTCCTCTCTCTCTCTCTCTCTCTCTCTCTCTCTCTCTCTCTCTCTCTCTCCCCCTCCCCACCTCGTCCTCATTTCCCCCTCCCACCCCCTCTCCCCGCTGCCCTCCCTAGCTCGCTGCCTTTCTCTCTGGCTTCTCTCTTTTCCCACTCCCCCCCCACCCCCGCTTTGGTTTGACAATTTCGTCTTAAGTGTTTCTCAAAAGAGGTTACTTTAGTTAGCATGCGCGCTGTGGGCAATTGTTAAAGTGTTCTTAGGTTTACTGTGAAGAGAATGTATCCTGTATCCGTGAATTGCTTTATTGGGGGGGAGGGAGGGCTAATTATATATTTTGTTGTTCCTCTATACTTTGTTCTGTTGTCTGCGCCTGAAAAGGGCGGAAGAGTTACAATAAAGTTTACAAGCGAGAACCCTAGACTGGCCCGGCCCGCGCTCCTCATTTGCTCCTGGCGCCTTGCAGAGCTGGGGGGAGCCGGTCACCGAGATTCTGCGCCCTCCAGGCCAGGCCAGGCCGCGGAGAGGAGGGGGCGGGGGTTGGAGGCAGGTGGTGCAGTCTCTTGGCCCAGGGGCGCAGGGGGTGAGGGAGGCGGCTGCGCATGATTGGAGGAGAGAGGAACGAGGGAGGGGAGCCAAGAGAAACCCCCTCCCTTCTCATTCAAAGGCTGCCGGGCCCGGAGACCCTAGCGCCCAGGCCACGCTGGAGAGATGCGCCTGGGCTGGTGGCTGTATCCTCCCACTTCCTCCTTTGTTTTTGTGTTCCCTCTCCTGCATGTGTGTGGGCGTATGGGTTGGTAAAGGTGTAGTGCTGGGCTGCTAAACAAGCTTATACTTTTATTTTTACTGGACTCTGGTGGGGGGAGCAGGAGAAGAGAGATGCTCTTCCCTGCCTCTCCCTTTCTGAGACTTGGCCACCTTCACCCAGCTCTGAGGTGGTGGCTTGCAGCTTTCCTTCCTTTTGCTCCCTTTGCTTCTCCGGCAGCCAAGTTGACTGAGGCATCCGCCTCCCGGAACCAGGAGAGCAGCATACCGGGCCGCCCTCCTCCCTTCCTTTTTCTTCCCACCCACCCCACCCCCTTCCTTTTTAAATTTTCAAACCTTTTTTTTTTTAGCCACCAGAAACTGCAGCATCTCATGCCCGTGGGCTGGATCCCGCGCCTTTGGGAGCACCCACTAAACCTCACTCCATCCTTGCCTGTCTGTCTGGGGCAGAGAGAGAGAGAGAGAGAGAGAGAGAGAACCATGAGGCCAGGCTCACCTCTTTCCTCACCTTGGGACAAACGGACCAAGTCCGGACCAAGTTCCCCCAGAGGCCCAGCCAGGCTGAATCGGTCTGGATTAATAAAGACCTGAACTGCCCCCACTCATCCACCCGGTTATGTGCAATCCCTGCGTTTGTTTCTCGCTGGGTAACGGGCTGGGGAGAATGGGTGGGGGGCAGGCGGTGACAACACGGATCGCTCTTGGAGGTATTTATTTTCCCTTCCACTCAATCCCTTCCTCCCCAAATCTCGCCTGCAAGCTGCCTCCAGCCCACAGGGGTCGACAGAGGCCCTTGAGCCCCCCAGCCCCAATCCACAGGGCTTGGCTTTCCCATTCATTATTGATCATATTTTATAAATCCAACGCCACACAATTTTTTCCACATTACCGGGAGCCGTGGGGAGGCTGCCCAGCCATTGGCCGAGGGGACGTCACGTGGGCGGGGTCACGTGGTCCAGAGAGGAAAAAGGGGGTCCTTTTTGGTGTAAATCTGGACTCTAATTCTGTAATATATCAAGGAATCTCGTAAAACCGACACTAAAACGTCCCTGCCTACAAATCATCCGGCCAAATTATGAGTTCATTGTATTATGCGAATGCTTTATTTTCTAAATATCCAGCCGCAAGTTCGGTTTTCGCTACCGGAGCCTTCCCCGAACAAACTTCTTGTGCGTTTGCTTCCAACCCCCAGCGCCCGGGCTATGGAGCTGGTTCGGGTGCTTCCTTCGCCGCCTCGATGCAGGGCTTGTACCCCGGCGGGGGGGGCATGGCGGGCCAGAGTGCAGCCGGCGTCTACGCGGCCGGCTACGGGCTCGAGCCGAGTTCCTTCAACATGCACTGCGCGCCCTTTGAGCAGAACCTCTCCGGGGTGTGTCCCGGTGACTCCGCCAAGGCGGCGGGCGCCAAGGAGCAGAGGGACTCGGACTTGGCGGCCGAGAGTAACTTCCGGATCTACCCCTGGATGCGAAGCTCAGGTAACGCCGCGCACCGAGCCGTCCCGAACTGTCCCGAGCCGCAGTGGCCCGGGCACATTCCCCGGAAGGCGCCCCCTTCCTGGCCAAGTGCCCTTCTCCGCGTCCAGAGTGCTCCCGGCAGGAGGTCGGCCCTTGGGGACGCGGCACCCCCTGGGCCGGGACCCGGCGCGCCGCCCCCACTCCCATTTTTTTGCTTGGTGCTCTCAGGCTCGCTCTGCTTCCCTGGCGGATCCCTCTCCGCCTCTCCGCCGACGCCGCGGCGCTCTGAGCTCCCAGCCCACCCCCCACCCTTCCTCCTGGCCTTTTAGCTTTAAATATTTATCAGCCGCGCCGGCACGGGCTGGAGACGAGGCCGTTTGTCTTGCGGAGGAAGGCTGGGGTTTGCAGAGAATAGCCATTAGGGTTTTCCCCCTCCCTTTTCCCTTCCCCAGCCAGGGATCTATGCTCTGGGTGTGTCCCCCAGCCCCAGCTAGGATAAGGTCTGAGGAGGGGGCCGCAACGCTGAGCAGCTCTCCCCTCCCCCTTTCTACCCAGCCAACCCCGCTCCCCCATTATTCCCTTCTGGACAATTAGAGGTGGGCTCTAGAGGCCTGGCAGGAGGAGGGAGTGTGAGAGGAGATGAGGATCCAGCCAGGGACACACAGCCACAGAGGCAGGTGGAGAGAGTGGGGCTGAGGCCAAGAGATGAGGCTCCTGACCCCCCAGTGAACTTGGGAGGGGAGGCAGGACAACTAGAGAAAGAGGCAGAGTTCTCAGGAGGTTACAGCTGGCTTCCTCAGGTGCCCTTCCTAGCATCCCTGGAGAACTGGCTAACAAGTTTGCAAGTATCATTCCAAGAGTGTTAATGTCCTCTTGGGGGAGAGACTAGGACTACAAGGAGTCAAATTAAGAGAGAGTACAGGCCACTGAGGCGGCTTCTGTAGAAACTCCGAAAGACCAGGGGCTCCATGGGGCCTGCTGACAAGCCTGTCCCAGAAATCCTTCTTAATTCTGCCTGGACTCAGGGGCCAACCTCAAGGTCCAGAAGACCCAAGAATTGTCAGAGGATCCCAATCCAGCCAGAGTTGAGGGCCAGAAGAAGTCCATGTCTCCCACCATCAGTATTAGTGGTCATGGTCCCTGTTATCTGCTCCATAATTCAACTGCCTTTCCAGCTGATTTATTAAAGCCTCAATTTTTCTGCTTATGAACATTTCAACTTGGCTTTTAACTGACTTGAAATTAGGGCCCCTCCTCCCACTATCTCCTTCCCAGGAGGGCTGGCACTAGCACAACTTCCCGAAAGCCTCCTCAGGGTTTTGGGCCTAACCTGGGAAGCTCTCCCCTGCCGTTGAGTCCCTACCACCCAGATATTCAATGTTGCACCCCAACCCAGGCTGCTATCTCTTCTCTTCCCCTGTACCTTCCTGGAGGCCCAAAGATTGCTTGGGAGAGCTGGGTTGGCTGGGCAGGTGGGTAGACAGGACAGCCTGGCCCTGTCTGAACCTCAATCACTCACTGGAAAATAGTCATCAGAGGGCAGCTGCCTTTAGACCAACTCCACACTCCAAGGAAATCTGCAAATTCTCAACTCCTCATTCCACAACAGGCTGGGGGAGGGGGAGAGGACTGGACCTTTGAGGCTCTTTGTCTCCTATTCTTTTGGGGAAAAGCCCTCTGGCCAGGACTAGAGCCCCTACTCCAGGGTTACTTGCATGGTTTTTATTATCCTCTACCCTGAAGACCATCAGAGTCAGCATCCAAAAGGGGAGGCTTAGGGTTCCTGGTCCTGAGGGTGATGGAAGGATTAACCAACTGCCCTTCATCCCACATGCACCCCTTAGGTGCAGGGCTTCAGGAGCCAGTTAGACCTTGGGAAGACTTCCTGGGTGGAAGATGGGAATGTTTGCCTTGAGGGAAGGGGGGGAGCGTGGGCTAGGTTATGGAAAGTGACAATTTGGTTTAGCGGGGAAATAGGCTTTCCAACTACTGACCCAAGAGCACATACAGGGTCGAAGAGGGAAGCGAACACTCTTACGGCTCTTTCCGCATTCACTGGTTTTTCTCCTGTAAATCTCTGCGCAGGGACTGACCGCAAGCGAGGCCGCCAGACCTACACCCGCTATCAGACCCTGGAGCTGGAGAAAGAATTTCATTACAATCGCTACCTGACACGGCGGCGGCGCATTGAGATCGCGCACGCGCTCTGCCTCACCGAAAGACAGATCAAGATCTGGTTCCAGAACAGGCGCATGAAATGGAAAAAGGAGAACAAGACCGCGGGCCCCGGGGCCACCAGCCAGGACAAGGCTGAGGTGGAGGAGGATGAGGAAGAGTGAGGGACGGGGAAAGGGCAGAGAAAGAGAGAGATGAGAAAGGGAAAGAGCGAGAAGCCCAGCTCTGGGAACTGAACCAGGAAACTCAAGTCAAATAGGGAGAGAAAAAAAAAAACTATTTAAAGGCAAAGCAGTTAACACTTTTTTAAGGAGAGAAGGTGAAGCTGGTTTCTTAACACTGAAAAAAAGATACTACCTATAGGAAAGTATGTCGGGTGGGTTTGTTTTGTACAGTATGGGAAGGACATCATCTACCTGTTCTGTAGCTTTCTGGAATTTGCCTCCTCTTTTCTATGTCGCTAATTGTAGGATCTTCGTAAAATCCTGCTGTTTTGTAAGCCCCCTCTTTGATGCTGTCTTTGTGGTCTGTGTGTCTGGACTAATGTGTGTGGTTCCCCGCCTTCCTGAGCCCCCGCCTTCCCAGTAGGGGCACTAAAGGGGCCTTAGGGAGCCCCAAGGACCCACGGACTAGCTCAAGTGTCCCCTCTGTGTGCATGGCCTGCTGGCTGCTCCCTGCCCCTGCCAGCCCCTGTGATCCTCTTTACATTCTATGTGTATCTGAAGGATGGAGAAATAAAAAGCAATTAAAAATAAACAGATGCCCTATTTTCCATGTCTCCCTAAGGCTGGAAGGGGGTCAGGGTTAGCCATGCATCCCAGTGGCCCTCTGTACCAACTTCTTCTGCCCACGTGCTGGGGTCTGTCTTTTTTCTGGTGCCCCTTGCTCTGCGGGCTGCCGACTTGTGAACCTGATATCACACATTCCCTTCACATTCTTTTACACACATTGACACACAAAGGCACACAATCACACATATTTACAGGCCGACATAGCACATAAATATACATTGTCACATTCACAAACATCCATATTCATATGTTCACAAATAATACGTGTATTTATCTACACAGGCATTCACATATCCCAGCTCCTGCCCAGAACACATGTATTCACCATTCTCTCCCACTCACGAGTCAACCCACATTCACACTCACAGACACGTTATCCATACCAATGTACACACACACGTTGGCTTATAAACACACAGACTCACATTTGCCCCCATGGAAACACGTCCTTGAGTCCACATGCCCCGTCACACATATTCACAACACCAAACCAAACCGAACACCCCACCACCATCACCAGCCGGGCAGTTCACAAACTCTTCCTCGACCAGGCCTTCACACCAGGCTGTGGCTGTGTCGCTCGGCACAAATACAAAAATACAAGCTGAAATCCAAAGTGCTAGGCCCCGCGCGAAGGAAGAGCGGAAGGAAAGGGAAGGTGACCACCCAAATCCACTCCCGCTGCTCTTCTCGGGAGGGCGGGTGGGCGGCGTCGGGGCAGAGGCCGGGCCGCCGCGCAGAAAGCTCCCGGCCACGGGCCTCCGACGCCAAGGCGCTCCCGGCTTTCCGCTCAGCCGGCAAACATTTTCCGCAAGAGCTGTTCGCTAATTTTATTTCAATTTATTTTACTTTCATTTATTTTAATTTAT